GAGTGGAGATTCCACCAAATAAAGATTGTATATCCGACTGGTTTCTATATTAAAATCTTTGTTATTTCTCCATATGGTTGCCATTTTCGAATAACAATACGCATATTCATAATTTAAAAACTATTTCGGATATTCCAATTTCTTTAGACTTTCAAATAGCCAGTAACAACAAATAAAAACATTTCCAGAAATTCTTATGTCAAATGCTTATTAAAATTATTATTAGTCATGTACATTTATATATATAGATTCAACGGGAACGATTCCGTTTCGGTTGGTAATGTGCTGACGATTGTCGATTTTAACGTAATTGGTCGTACTGAACGCCACCACATGACCCAAACAGAGCTTGCAGAAATCTGAGACAGTTGCACCGACATTCCAATAGCATAACATGAATATATTACACTACACTGCATGTAAATATCGTTTCTATTCGATTGCAGACAGTGCAATTAATCTCAGACTATCAAATAATATGCTGTTTACGAATAATGGAGTCCAAAGTGGATTTGGGGTAGGTAACAATTTATACGAATAGCAAGATGGCGTCTGCTGTACACGCAGTATACATCACTCTATAATTTTGGCCAATTTTTAGAAGTAACTTAGAAGCCCACGAACTATTATTATCGTTCGCACGTCTATAAAGTACCGCTCAAAAAATATGGAAGCGGGAAAAGAATTACGCGACATGAGAAAACACCACTACCACTACAAAGAGCGCCCTCAACTGCCCAGGAAGGAATCGAATTCTCGTCCCGGCAAATCAAGATTAACTGGTACTAAGGACGGTGCCATGCTCGTATATTTCATGAACTCTTCTAACTCTATTCACATTGTCCAATTTTGTTGTTGTCTTTGTTGTTGGATTTCTGAATGTTATCATTATTGTGTAGCTCTTTTCATTATTTCAAATTACATCCAAATTTACGTAAAAAACAAAGAGGCGGAGTTGCTTTCATGATAAAAGTAAATGCAACAAATAGAGATTCATGAGATGGTCATGTGATTTCATATCAAATATTGACCCAACAAGTCAGGGTGTGTTTTCAAATCAAATATTGACTCCACAAGTCCGGATGTGATTTCAAATCAAATATTGATCCAATACGTCGTGGCGTGTTTTCAAATCAAATATTGACCCAACAAGTCAGGGTGTGATTTCAAATCAAATATTGACCCAACAAGTCAGGATGTGATTTCAAATCAAATATTGATCCAATACGTCGTGGCGTGTTTTCAAATCAAATATTGACCCAACAAGTCAGAGTTTGATTTCAAATCAAATATTGTTCCAATACGTCGTGGCGTGTTTTCAAATCAAATATTGACCCAACAAGTCAGGGTGTGATTTCAAATCAAATATTGATCCAATACGTCGTGGCGTGTTTTCAAATCAAATACTGACCCAACAAGTCAGGGTGTGATTTCAAATCAAATATTGATCCAATACGTCGTGGCGTGTTTTCAAATCAAATATTGACCCAACAAGTCAGGATGTGATTTCAAATCAAATATTGATTCAATACGTCGTGGCGTGTTTTCAGATCGAATATTGACCTAACAAGTCAGGGTGTGATTTCAAG